TATTTCAAGGTAGAAGGAAAATACCAAAATGTAATTTAGATATCCGCATCATGATCATCACTATGTTTAACTTAATTGGGCAACATTTTATAAACATAACATGCGGTAACTTAAAAATACTGTCATGATCCAATCCGTGACACCCTCCTTTCGGGTTGTCCATCTGGATCCCTACATAAACTTCAGTTAGTACAAAATGCAGCTGCCAGAGTTCTCACAAAAACTAAAAAATTTGATCACATTAGCCCTATCCTGTCCTCCCTGCACTGGCTACCAGTCAAGTCTAGGATTGACTACAAATTACTGCTATTAACCTACAAAGCTCCGAATGGCCTTGCACCACAGTATCTTAATGATCTTCTGGTTCCTTACAACCCTTCTCGCCTGCTTCGATCACAAGGAGCAAGATATCCTATTAGTTCCTAAAGTAGACAGGGCTGCGGCAGGCTGCAGAGCATTCTCTTGGTCTCCCGGGGGATGTGCGGGATTCAGGCACACTCTCGCTTTTCAAGTCTAGATTAAAAACGCACTTGTATAGCTTAGCATATAGGAAACCTAGTTCTGGTTCCAGCTAGTCCCTCACTCCCAGTCAGACTAACAGTATGAGGTGAAGAGCTGGGTGGGGATCGGTGTCATTGGCTTTGGATAAACTGATGCGTCAGTGCTGTCACTCTAGCTTTAAACTAGAGTGCTGATGTTCAGGGAGTCCCCATGCCTGTGTTCCGCCTGTCTCTCCCTCTTTCTCATGCTGCTATAGCCAGATCTGCCGGAGCCTAGATGAATATTGCACTCGAACATTTTGCTTGCATTGCCTCTGGTTTCCTCAGCTCTGGCTAATACACTATTTTCTTACTTCCTCCTTCACCCCTTCTGGGGTGTGCTGCCTGGAGAACCATGTCATCGAAGAATTTATGCCTCTGCTGCCTGCAAGACTACTACCTCCACCTCCGGCAACTACCCTACAACCTGCCTGCCCTTGGCGCACGCGATGAGTCTCCATCCTTCCCTGCGGCTGTGCCACTGTTGATCTTGCAATCATGCATCAAGCACCCCGTGCCTGCACCGGTCGGCCGCTGCAGTGAGACTGATATTTCAACCCCTGTATTAGCTTAGTCATATCATCTTGTTTTGTTTGACTCATCTGCCGGCCCATGGAGGATGGGCTCCCCCTTTGGGTCTGGTTCCTCCCAAGGTTTCTTCCTCTTAGGGAGTTTTTCCTTGCCACCATTGCCTTTGGCTTACTCACTGGGGGGTCCTTACATGGCAGAAATGTAAAGCGCATTTTGACAATGTAATGTTGTGATAATGCGCTATATAAATAAAATTGCATTGCAATTGCATGAAGGCATATCAGCAGGTGATTGCCTGAACCTTGCTCTGCCTCTACATCAAAAACGTTATCAGAGTTCGATTAATATGTAACCCGCAGCTGAGGGATAGGCAGGCAGAGATAGTAGTCTCTGTGCCGGCTGTATCCTATGCTGGTAGCAGTTGGTACACAACCTTTTATTCTTCATCACACACTCATTACACTCTTAAGTCCAGGGACCAGCTTGGAAAGTCTCTCTTTTATCACACACAAATGACAGGCATCAAAATGTTGTGTGTTCTGCACTTGCTCTGTGTGGAGCATGAAGCATTTTTAACCATATACTGGGGAAAATGACCTGAAACTTGGACATGGACAAAAGGACTCAAACCTATCTCCTTTCTTTTGAGGTTGTTTGGTGTTTTCTATGGATTTTTTCCAGAAAGCAGGCCAACGAGCAAGCAGACCTTAGGCCTTAGATAAGAGCCAGTAGCCAGAAGGCAGTACTGGCTTATAAGCCCATCTGAACTATGCACATGACCTGCCCTACTGGATTATGTCTGTTTCCCTACCTGTCAGATTGCAGGGAATTTCCTGCACTTGTGTTCAACTGAACAGTTGTCGTGTGGCTGATGGGGTGGGGGACATTTCATGAGGGGGACGGCGTACAAGGATAATGTGAAGCATGTGTCTTCACAGTTCTACAGACACATGGACTGTCAAGCAGCCCGGGCATACACTCTGACCTCTGTGACCTGGCGTGAAGTGGAGTGGCAAAAAAGGTAAACCGGGAGCTCTGTTGGCTGGTTGGTTTGTGAATTCCAGTCCCAATACTTATTCCATTACTGTGTTGCTATCCTCACTGTGACTGCACAGGTGGAAAGTTAAAGTCCAGAGAGTACAAATCTAAACCAAGATTTTGTTTCAACCAGCCAGTTCAGTAGTCTATTAATGTGACTCTCTGTGCTCCACTGATTGGTTAAAACAAAATCCTGATCTGGATTTGTACATTGTGTACCTGAAGTTTTGACTTGAATTTAGTGCTGGTCAAGATTTCTTCCTTTATGCAGATCAATAATTAAGTTCAGGCATTTGGAAAAGTTTTTAAAATTAAAATTTAGATTTAGTGAGGAAAGGGATTTTCTCTCTGTGTTTGTGACCATGGCTCATTTACTTTGACGATTTCTTTCACGTTTTATCAGGTTGTAAATACCATGTGATGTCTAATCTTTTTTACATTAAGAACAAAATGTCCCTTTGATATTGGTAAACCGCTTCAGAAACCTTGGAGAGCCGGATGGGCACAAGTATGTCAAAGTGTGGAAAGAATGTGTGGGAAGAGAGAGAAGTGAAACGCCTGATGTGTTTTCACTGGCCTATGCAGTGAAAGGTGGACCCACAGCTACACAGCGTTGCTGGATTAGCTGAGCAAAGTGGGACCTGCTCAATGGTTAACTGGAATTGTAAACAAGCAGAGGACAGAGCATGATGGGAAGCTGTGCCAACATTCAAGATGATACTACAATGGTTCACAAACGTCCAAGACACTCATTTATCCTGGTAACTATAAATGCTGATGAAAGGTAATATGGTGTGTAACAGTACCATGTGTGTTCAGGCCCCTTTGGCCTTGAATTTCTCCAAGAAATTCTGATTTGACAATGGCATGAAATTAGACACTAAGGGAAAGGCGGTGGCATTAGGAGAGGAAGTGTGGGAGATGACGGTGCTGTAACTAAAGGAAATGTGGTGAAAATAAGGGCACGGCTAGTCTTTGCTGGGTTCTGCCCTCTATGGCTTCAATCTCTCAGCCTCAAGCCTCATCACAACGTTTTAATCTGTTTTTGTAGCAACATCTTAAATTTACCCCCAAAAAAGGTTTAGGATTGATTGGAAAGTACTGTATATGTTCAACTGATAGAATTGCATATAACTGCTCAGTGATTCATCACTGCATGGCTTGTTAGACCCCCGACTGACTGGGTCAATGCTTAATTGACTTAATGGAGATCTGGCACAGACTCGAGAAGCTCTCTTTCTGTCCCGGAACCAGGTCACTCTGATCTGAGATCCTGCTCTGCAGGCTTCATTAGGCATGTAATTCATTAGGTATACGTCTGTTTGGATATATGTACAGCATATAAATACCCACATTTATTTGTGTATATGTGCATTCAATTTTCCTTTCAGTTGCCATTATTTGAATCTGTCTTGAGGTTGTTGTGTTGATTATGTATGAGGTTTAAAATTTGCGTTCTTTCCTCAGTCATGACTGTTCACCCCTGCTTCATCGTGTCCTGGAGGCTGTGAGTTATCTGTGGCCAGTCCCAGCTGGCATACAGCATTGCATGCTTGTCACCCTGATTATCACAGTTCGGCAGGGGCACCAGTTGCTACTACCATTTACTGGGTCACAACTGCTGTCCTGGACTGACACCAAAAATGGGCAGTGCTATAGACTCATGCTGTAGACTCATGGTGTTTCAATGACACTTTTTCACATATGTGCTCATTCCCCTGACTGATTTTTACCTGATCCCAGGTCAGTTGAGTGTTTGTTAATGTTGGCCACATCTTTTTTTGAATCTGCATAAATGCAGAGACATGTTAGTGTTTGCGTGAGGCCGCTGCCTCTGCCCGTGTTCAGCCTCTTCGTTCATATGCATGTGTGAAATGGCATGGTGCCTTTTTTTGCACTGGGGGCTGAATGACAGAGAGCTAGGGGGAGCTGATTGTCATTCAAGGGGAGGGGGGCATTTCTCAGCACAGAAAGGAACGGGGTATTCAGGGCAGCTAAACAGCACAACAAGGACAACATCTTTTTTCTTCTTCTCTCAGCATTCCTCCTTCATTCATCCGTGCGTTCATTTGTTTGTTGCATGAAGGTCCCCCTTAGTGGCAAAATCCCTAATTAAAAATGCAAAATGGACACCGCTTTGGACCTCAGTTGATGTCCGCTGAGGGGGGCCACAGTGCCACCTTTCAGTGTGGCTCTCCCTGGATGCCTGAGTGACCATGCATATGAACCATGCATGTGCTCCTGCCCAGTGAGACAAACATCCTCACTGAAGGAACTTTTATGAAAAATAGCACTGAGACTCACACACTTGTGAAAGTACTGTGAAGCGATTTTAAGCCTGGCTGATGAGGCTTGAAACCTCAGGAGAATGCTGATTTGCTATACCAGTAGACAAGAATGAGATTTACATGGTGAAAAAGACATTTTTGGATGGATTGCTGTAGTTTCTGTCTTGGCTGTGAGGGCTGGTTGGGACCATCAGATTGTAACGCTGATAATATGTAGGGCTCTGGCTTCAACTGGGCTTTGACAGGGGAGCTGACTACTTATAAGGCAGCTTTTACCTCAGCATGGTATTCTGAATTCCAGTGATTCAGTGATTTTTCTTCCTGGTGTGTTTGGTCCATTTTGGCCTATTCTGTGCCACTTCACGCTGGTCCTGCTTACGTTTCCCCATCATCCAGCTGTTATTTTCCCACGGGAGCAAATGAGGCTAAGTACCTGTCCCTAGGGAGTGTCAGTGCTTGTCCTGCTCGGTATTCATCCCCCTTTCCTGAGATAGTGTCTAGATGCAGCTGGGCCTTTGCTCAGGGGAACTGTTCTCTTGGTGCTGGACTGGAATCGTCTGTCTCACTGAAACCTGGTAAAGTCTGGGCACTTCACTGCTGAACACGATGAATATTTAATCCCGGGGAGTTAATGTGGAGATGCCTGCATCTTAATTTACTGGCACTGGGGCTCTGGGCTTCCATGTTGTGGGATAGATGTTTGAATTGCAGTACATAGACCATTTGTAGGAATCCACTTTGTATTCCCACCAGGGGTGATAACCCCCCCCCTCACCACCACCACCACACACACACTTATCCTATAGAAAAGATGAGATGTTATGCACGTTTTGTTAGTTCGAAGAGTACTATTTATAGATAAAGAGAATCATCATTCTTCATTATTCTTTTTCTTGGTGGTTCCGGCAAACGATCACCAATCTGTCAGATTAGCCGGATAACCTTAACAAGTTGTGTACAGCAAAACAGTTTGGACTGGCTTTGGACTGATCCACGTCTCATCATCATCGGATGTGTGTGCGTCACTGGCTTGGGAGTTTGGGGACAGAGTGTGTCATGATCTGTGTGTGCAAGTGATTAGTGGAGAGCGATTCGCTCGTCACTGTAAGCAAAGAAAAGCCTTCATTGAGAGCCAACAGTCCTTTTAACGGGCTTGTGCCAAATGCTGATTGCCTCACACTCCAAACATACCCACGGGGTTCAAACCAGCGGCCATGACAACAATTGGCATGTGAGGCAAGGTGTGCTGCGGAGGAGGTGTGGAGTTCAGGTGAGAACTTACCATTAGCATGCTGGTATCAGGTGCTAACACAGGAGCTCCATTTCACAAATTGGGTATTTTTTCAGGGGTGTTACATGGAAATGGTATGCTTTGTTTTGATGCAAATCATTTCAGCCCTTCACTGATTTATATTGTTTACACTACTCTTTCACTTTTATTCATAACTTAACTTTTAATTGAGGTCAATTATCCTTAAATTGCTTGCAGGCAGGAATTACTTTCATTCATTAGTTCAGTTCAGCAATTCAGTGTGTGGGGGACATAGCCAAGCAACCTAAAAGTTACTGGTTTAAGTCCCAGGATGGGTCTCTGATGTAGTATTATTAAGCAGAGTATTTAACCTGAGAGACTCCAATAAATTATCCTGTAGTGGAATTTGAAGTCATTTCAGATAAAAGCAATTACATGAACAATTACTGTAAGGATAACAATGAAGCAGGTGAAAGATTATGTGGCAATGTACCTTCAGGTACAGTCTACACAGGAAAACTAAAAAGTGACTCATCTCGCCCTGAAACACCTCTTGTCATTTTAGCACCAGTTCTTTGTATTTGTGAGGTCATGAGTCGTATACTCACATATCAACAGAGAAAGTTGAAAAAAAGCTGACATATTCAGCATTGATATTTTTAACAATTCTTTTGGTTTTTGCAGTGTCCTCATTACATACAGAAGTCAGTTAGATCCCCCTGAGCTCTCTCTCTTTCTGGTTAAGTTGATCAATCACACCCCGCCTTGAAGCTGGAGCTGTTCAGGTTATCAATGGCACCCCGAGCGAAAACTAAGCAAAGGCATGCATTACATCTGCACAGCAACAGTTTCAAAAACCTTTGTGTTTACAGCCATCAAAGTGCTTGTCGCTGCTTGAAGCTGTCCAGTGAGTGAGTAAATTGCCTTGCAAAAGCACAATACATGCAATGCAGGTACAAAGGCAGCCCTGGGGCTCCTGAGAAAACCTAGCAAGCAGCTCCTGATGTTTCTGCGCCTTGTTCCCATAGTCCCTGCCTGTGCTCCTGAATGGGTCCATTTCAGACCCCACTTCAGTAGCTCACTGGCTGTTGTGTTTACCAGACACCATCAAAAAACGTGGTGAAACACAAAAGCAGAAGAGCCTTTACAGAATGGTACATTTTAAAAAAGTCTCTTGGTGGAAGCTCTGCCACACAGCAGAGGGAGGTTAGGCTGTGCCTCACCTGCCTCTAATCCTGGCTGCATAAACACCTCCTTTACCTCATTATAGTCAGTGAGTGGTTATATGAAGTAGGAAGCTGCAATTCCTCCCTTTGTCCCATAACCAGCAGAGAAACGGACGTGTTTAAATATAGAGCTGGAGAAAAAGAGAGCAGAGTGAAAAAAGAATGAAATTAGAGGCTTCCTAAACAAACAACATTTTACGTTCAATGGAAATGGGGAACTTATTTCCCTTGGGTGTACCTGGTCACCTGATACAGGTGTGTCTTCAGTTTGGCCCGAAGCAAAGAAGAGGGAGATTGATAACAGATGCTTTGTTTATAAAGAGCTGACATCTGCTAAATTTGCTAGAATACTTAGGATGCATCTAAAATCGTGTACTTGCACAGCAGGTACTGAATTTCGGCAGATGCCTGGTACTTGACCATTAATGCAGTATGTAACGTCGTCCTACTGTATGTATGCATGAGAACACACACTGTGGTTGCCATCTTGATATGATCTGACTTGGATGTTTACCAATGATATAGTTAAACCCCTGTGAAAGTTAGAAACTGTTGACACCTTCCAAGAAAAAATACTTACTCAAGTCAACATGTTTTTTATTAAAATTTTTACAGAGATGGCATTTCCTCCATCTTTTAAAAAATAATTACAGAGGAAGCAATGCTCTTTGATACTGGAGTGGCCTTATGGAATAGCATAATGTCCATCAGTTGCACACTTCAGAATTTTGCAGAATGCAGTATGTCATACTGGCACCGTTTGCCATCTGCCTAAACTGAACTGAGGATTGAACTGTATTTCACCTACTACATAGCAAACAAGTATGTAAGTTGGGACACATCCAAAATATACATAACAGAAGAGAAACCCGTGCAATAAAATAAAATCTATTTGCTAAAATGTATTAAGAATGCTTGGTGCCCCATCTTGGGTTATGCCCTGCCTTGCACCCATAGTTACTGGGATAGGCTTCAGACCTTCAGACAAATGGGTGGGAAAACTGGATGGATGGATGCAGGAAATGCAGAATTTAAGTGTGGGTTCCTCTTACTTTTAAAAAAAAATTATTGAAAAAGGCTGCTTGGTTAGAAATACAGGTTTGTATGTACAAGAAAAACATTAGTCAAGCAAGAATATGGCTGCTGCACTTAAACAGCGATGATTTAGACGCCCCCATGTCATTGGTACTCCAGACTTCATGTCCCATTTCTCAAGTGAAGGAAAAAAAAAAGTTTTTTGATTAAAAAGACATTGTGCTCCGCCGGAGTCAATATGAGTAGATGAAGGTTATATTACAGTTATGGTGTGTCTCTTTCCTCTTATACTCTATCTTGCCAATAATACTGCTTCTTCCACATAACCTTGAACATTATTTATAGAAGATGATTTACTTGAAACAGTGTCTCCATGTCCCAGATGACTGTTAGGGTTTTTTTTGGACCACCTTCTTTGACTCCACCCTCTCCTTCAGCACCACTTGTCTCCCTATGTGACCTGAGATTGAATTATTGATCCGCGGAGGGAGCAGCCACATAAATGGCCACCGCGGCACACATACAAGCCCCCCCCCCACCTGCCAGAAACAGCCCAGCAGCCAGGAGTGCATTCTCTGACCAGCCCTTCCCCCAGTTCCGCAGCTCTGTAGTTTTCTGCTGCCAAGCTGCTTGCCTCTGACGAAGGTCAGGGAGATTGGCGTGGATGCAGATCAGGCTGCTTCGGCTTGTTCTCAGGCTCTGTCATTCACACAGCTGACCCAGACACTCAGAGTCTTCCCTTCTGCCCCCTTTCCTATCACAGAGGCAGCTGTGTTCCCCAAATGTTAGAGAGAGAGAAAGAGAGAGAACACAGCATGGATCATAATGGTGCATTTATCTCAGGCACCTGCTTTTGGAGCTGTGCTACAACTGTGCTGTCATTACTGTCGAAATGAGGTAGGGGAGATCTATCTCCGCCTGTAATACAATCAAACACACTGCCAGTACAGTCGTAAGAGCAATTGGCCTCTAACAGGCATGTGGGAAATTGATCATTCATTTGCTACTGTTGCAGACTGAATTAAAAGCACACACTGTATCTGACTTTTAGGCATAATACAGAGAACATATTTATGTAGTGTATTTTTAATTGTATCCATTCACTCTTTACCAAGTGAACTTTTTTTTGTGATATTTGTGCCAGATCCTCTTCAGGACCTTGACAACTTCCTTGGTATTTTAACAGGCAAAGATCCTTCTGAACACATGAATCAGTTACCTGGACATTATGACCGTGATGTAAAATATGGCTGCCCCCGTGGAGAACAGTGAAAAAGGAGCCAGTGGGCTAATTTAAACAAATTGGAATGACAAGCCCACAGAAATATTTTGCTGTTTGTCTCAAACTGCATAAGCACTTGATGTTACTGTCCTGACAGCGACATGTTACATGCCAGTCTAACCCAGTCGAAACACAATTTAACAATCAAGAACAATCAAGGGTGATTTGCGTATCTGTGTGTGCAAAGGCTACTTGGAAAGTCGATGGTAAATGTTTTGTTGCAGGTACTAGATATGTTTGTTAATATTTGTTAAAAGTGTCATTTGAGGTGCAATTTTACAATATGTTCATGTTCATTTTCATTTTGAACTGTAAGAATTGCATGCAGGTACTCATAATATTATGGTTAAGACTACAGATTTAAAACTTTTACAGAGATTTGTCATGGGTTGTTCCCTGGCTTGTGCCTGTAGCCTCCGAGATAGACTCCAGATCCCCGTGACTCCAAATAGGACAAGCAGTTACAGAAAATGGATGGATGGATGACCTTCAACACAATACTTAACTGTTTCATAAAATCAAATATCTTTCAACTCTTTCAATATAAATGAATAAATGGAAAGTATTCTTTTAATAGCCTAGGATCAAAATAAACTTAATATGTTACCGAAATGGCTTGTTTTATTGATACAACCACTTCTTGTTTAGAAACTACCTGTTAGCGACCATTTGCATTTTCCAACCCATGTGCACATTTATGACTCAATTCTGCATGCCTGTCAACAACACACACTGGAGTGAGAGAGTACAAAATGTTGTTAAAAAAGTCCATTTCATGAATTATAAAGGAAATTGAATATGGAAGGCTGAAGTCATGAGCACAGTCCTGGCCACGGCAACATTACTGTGATTTAGGGTTGCAACAAGTAATCGATTGAAATCGATTATTAAAATAGTTGGCAACTATTAATCGAAAAAGTAATCGACAGATTAATCGATTATCAAAATAATCATTAGTTGTAGCCCTACTGTGATTTTCACTTAGCAACTGTCAGGGTCTGTAGCGTCTTCCCCATTAGGTCAGCAGGCATTGTTGGCCATTCTGCATTTCCCTTCTGCCGTTACTAGTCTTCCCTAATGTGTTTTTCCTGTTCCCCAGACTGCTGCACAACGTAGTGGGTCATGGGTTCAGGGTTAGCACATCCCAGTCTTGCATGTTCTGGATTTTGTTTGACTTTTGTTCCCCACTGTTTGCAATTTTGGGTTTTGGTTTTCCTAGTATTTTCTGTCAGGTCTCCTATCTATGGTCCACCCTCCCTGTATTAGGATTTGTTTTTTGTACTTGTATTTTGTATCAGTCTTGTATTTCCAGTGTTTTATTAGTGTTTTGTAGTTTAACTTTCTCAGTTCTGTGAGCTCTCCCAGTTCTTAAGTTTCACCTGTTGCTTGTATTGTGTTCTGTTTTGATTGGTTGTTAAGTTAAAACTTTTCTCCTGTGTCCTCATTAGCTCAGTCTAGTTTGTGTACATATTTATCTTAGGTCACTTTCCCAGTTGGTCATTGTGTTAGTTTGTGGCAGAATGTGTTGTGTTGATGCTTTGTTTGGGTTTTCTAGTTTTGCTCCCCGTGTTGCTCTTTTCCCTTTATTGTTACCTTTTTAGATATTTTTGTAGTTAGTTCTTGTTTTCCCTCATTTGTTCACTTTCTGCCTTCCCCAGTATTAAGTTCCCTAAACCCCTTTGTCCTGTGAGCCACCAGTGGATTGTCACCTTCTTTTCCTGCCTGCACCATGCCACGCCGTCATGACAAGGAACTATTTTGTTTAATGACATGGACGTTGGAATGGAACTTGGTTGCTAAACGAGGATTGTGGTTGTGTGTATGTATAGTGGCCAACATAGTAAGTATGCTTTTCTGGGTCTGATATAGGTCTTAATAGGAACTGGAGCACATCATCTCACAGGTTGCACTTGTTGTGAGTGGATATACAGTCTGAACAGCGCCCACCTGTCAGCAGTGACGTATGACAGAGGTGGTGGGGGGAGGGGTGATTGGGCTCTGATTAAAGTGTCAGAGTGAGAAATGAGCCAAACAGAAAGGTCAGGCTATGAGGCGGCTTGGGGACAGGGCTGGCCTCAGATGGGGGGGCTGCCATCAGCTTTCCTATTAAGGTCAAGCTCTGTCTGTTCAGCTTGTACGCATTGATCATGGTCCCTCTTCCTCTGTCGACCAGTAAATCAGCCACAGGGTTGACATCTGAGCATCTGAACCTATAAGTACAGACCCGAGGAAGGGTTAGGTAAACTATTAATATAACATGAATCAAAGAAGATTGAATGATTGGCTACTGAAGTCCAGTGAGAATGAATAAAAAATCAGGACGTTCTCTGTAACAGCAAGCATTGAGACACAAATACTGGACCTCCAGTGTATCTCTTCTGCTTTCATCTCCATGACCACATTTAAAGACGCTTATGAGGGACACATGTGTTTCTACGACAGCTGCCCAGCATTCATTGGGTTATGTCACAGAGAGTGGATAACTCATTTTGAGGCAGGGGCAGACCCAATGGGTTGGGATACTTTAGCCTGTAAATGTTTAGTGTATCTACAAAAATAATGAATGCACGAATTAATACTTATTTTGTTTTGGGGGTTTTAAACCTGGCCTCCAGTGCATAACTGAATACACTGTAAAGGTTCACTAAGAGGACATCAGGTTACCTAAGCTATCACATACACACGATTCAGATTTTAAACAGCTAAAGATTCCAGAGAAGCATCTGCTGGTGTTGGCAGGAAGAGAGCCGTCGAGTCCGGGAGTCACAGGGCCATGGGGTGGGTTTGCTTGGCAGCCGCACTGTTGCTTCCTTCTCCGATGTGAGCCTGTAATTTAGTGCTCCCCGGGTCCATCTCATGGGGACTGAGCTTTGAGAGACAAGATGAGACCCAGCCAACTTCCTGCTAGACGACAAGAATCACAAGCTGCATCCTGATATATTACTTCAGACAAAACCTGTATGCCAGTGTAGCCAACCTTGGAACAGCCCTATGCTCTGTGCAGCTCTTCTATCAAGGTTGGGCCCAGATAACAGCAACACTGTTCCCGCAGGGTCTTAAAAAGTCTAAAATTCAGAAAGTTAAATTTAAGGCCTAAAAATGTCTTTAAAATGCCCATATTTCCATCCTAGGTCTTAAATTTAATTTACCCAAGTCTTAATATTCTTACCTCTGTTCCTTCCCAAATAGCGTTGTGCGCAGAAAATAAAATAGTAAAACGCTGTAAAACTAATCCGTTGGTTGTGTTTTCTGGTCTGCACCGGTGTCTGCGTGGTAATAAAACTACAAATCCCATTGCGTGATCACTGCAGCTAGGCAAACAGTTTGAGAAGGGCAAACTGCAGAACGTGCATTTTCAGCCACTGACGTCAGGTGCACTCTCAGCCACAACGGGAAGTGCAGGGGAATCAAGCGCTAACTTAGTTCTTTTTTTTTTTTCTTCAAGATTTTTATTTCAAAATGAATTAAGAATTACATCAATTTCAAAAGAACTTGTTTGAGGAAAAAAAAGGCTTACATTTAGAACCTTTACAACATGACAATAAAATAAAATAAACTAAAAAAAAAAAAACTTTACAGGGGTTGACATCTTAACATAATGGTCCACGCATAATTGATACACTGGACTGTAAAAAAAGCAAGAGACTCAGACATTATTTCATACAGCTCATTTATAGACTGGTTATTTTCCAATAGCACTTTTAGAGATGTTTTATATTGTTTAATTTCATTTTTAAAATAGTTTATGTTAGGCTTACCGTTTGTCCATTTATTCTTATGTATATGGTATTTTCCCATTACTAAAATAATGTTCACCATTTTGGATATCTTTTTTGGCAGACCATCCATGTATATCAACACTTTAAATTTGTTATAGCAAACATCATTAATCCCAATATTTAACCATAGATAAAAAAAAACCCATTATGATTGGACAAGAGAAGAAAAGGTGTTCAATTGTTTCACGTTCAGTCATACAAAAGACACACTGGTTAACTTCAAAATTGAATCTTTTCCTTGAGTTTCAGCAGCAGGATAGATATCATGTATTAATTTGAACTGAACTTCTTTCACCTTCGGTGCGATTGGTCATTTAAGATAGGACTTTGTTAATGCAATTTCACTATCAGAAATCTTTGTTTTTGTTGATTTATCAATATAGAATAGTTTTTCTTTAACCATACTTCCAATTACTTTGTTATTACATTTTCGTTAACCAAATTTCAATTCACCAATTTTTAACTCAGGAAGTTTAATAAACACGTTTGAATTAGTGAGGATATTTTTAATCATGTATTTCAAGGAAGTGGAATAGCTCTAATGATTTGATTAAATTCTCTATAAGAGCATTTAAGATTAAACTTTTCGACAAAAGAATTAACTTGTAACAAATTACCATTTTCATCCATCAAATCCGTCACATATAGGATTTTTTTGTCATACCATTCTTGTTTAAATAAAGTCTTTCTGTTAATTACTATGGTTCTATTATTCCACAAGGTGGAGCTATGCGGTGTAAAGTTGTGAGTGAACATCATTTTCCAATAGAGCAGTATTTGTTTATGGAAGTCAGATAGTTTGATTGGTAATTTAGATATTTCGAAGTCGCATCTTGACAAAAACTTTAATCCTCCTAAATTTTGAAAAATATATTTTGGCATGTGAAACCATATAGAATTTGGTTGAGTTAAAAAGGCTTTTATCCAGTTTATCTTTAATACACAAACCATAGCTTCAAAATCAGCAGCTTTTAACCCACCATATTTGTAATCTTTAACCATCACAGACTTTTTAAGGTAGTGTGTCTTATTCTTCCATATGAAATTAAAAATTGAATTTACCTTTTTAATCATTTGGGGGGGGGGGCATAAAGAGATTGACAGGGATATACTAATTTTGATAACCCTTCTGCTTTTGTTAATAAGATTCTGCCAATAATAGAGTGATCTCTCATGAGCCAATGGTTTTCATGCTGTCTATTTTTTCTTCTATGTTTAGTTGTTCTCTCTTATTTCTATCTTTATTAAACCTAAATATTTTATTTCAGTTTTGACCGGGATGGAGCCTATATCTGTCTCAGCACATGGATGAAGAGAGAGTTTTTCACATTTCTTTAGGTTTAGACATAATCCTGAAGCTTTAGAAAAGACTGAAATTATATCTAATGCTTTTTCAATTAATGATTTATCTTTAACAAAAATTACTGTGTCATCTGCAAATTCACTTATTTTAAATTCATAATCAAAAATAGCGATTCCTTTAAAGTGATGGTGGTTTAAGATTAGATATGCTAGGATTTGTGTATATAAAATGAATAGTTTTGGCGAAATAGGGCAACCTTGTCTAATACCACGTGACATCTTAATATTTGGTGTCATTCCAGGGTTGAGGGAGATGTAGCTATAGATAAAAACATTTTTGTAATCTCACAGAACCCTTCTCCAAATCCGAGTTTTTTGAGTACCGTAAACATAAAACCGTGTTCCACAGTATCAAAGGCTTTGAAAAAATGTATAAACAAGGCTATCTGGTTGTATGTATGATTGGTAATCAATCATATCTAGGATCAGTCTAATGTGATTTTGAATATATCTTCCTTTAATAAAAGCTGATTGATGCTCTCCGATAAATTTCCCAATTATATGCTTTAAATAATTCACATACACTAAAGCCAGAAGTTTATAATCATTACATAGTAAGGTTATTGGTCT